TAAGGAGCTATCTGTCATGTTCATCAATACCCTAAAACATCCTTTCTATGATCGGATGATAGGAAGCGCTTCCACAAATTTCTCTGATATTATGACCATCGGATAAAGGATCGAATATGGGGTTAGACATGGGCGAATAACTAGTACTGCTGATGAGCCATTGGCCGCAAAGAAGGCAAGTCATTCCAAGAAGAAGGAAGGTGAGGTGCAAATGGTGGGAGCAGACCGACACTCTTGGAAACAACAACCGTACCGTCAGACACCGCGATACTCTCCGTATTATTACCCAACGCCATACGGGTATAATCAACCATTTGTGAATAATGCAACTTTACATTACTCCCCTTATGCTTCCCAAAATTTTCGACCCCCAACCAGTCAAAATTTCCAACCTACCCCAACCAGTCAAAATTTTCAACCTAGGGGTCAGCAGCATAATACATTCTATACTCAAGGGTAGCAGAATAATAGAGGGGCACGTAAACAGACCCAGTTTGACCCAATCCCCATGACTTATACTGAACTTCTGCCTCAGTTATTTCAAAATAATCAGCTGGCACCTGTACCTGTAGATCCGATCCAGCCTCCATACCCAAGATGGTATGATGCAAATGCTCGTTGTGACTATCACGCAGGAGCCATAGGGCATTCAACAGAGAACTGCACTGCATTGAAATACAGGGTTCAAGCTTTGATCAAGGCAGGTTGGTTGAACTTTAAAAAAGAAAATGGGCTTGATGTAAGTAAGAATCCGCTGTCGAATCATCAGAATGTCCAAATAAATGCAATCGAATGCCAAGGGATCGAGTCGAAGAGTAAGGTTGCCGATATTACAACCCCTATGGAGGAACTATTCGAAATTCTCTTGGGCAGTGGATATATATCAGTGGAATACCTATGCCCAAAGTATAAAGGGTATGATGAAAGTCTGACGTGCCTGTTCCACTCTGGGGCAAAAGGTCACTCCCTAGAGTAATGCAACAGTTTTCGGATGAAAGTTCAAGAGTTGTTAGACTCAAAAATCCTTACTGTTGCAAATTCTCACCAGAAGAAACGGACAAATGTTGTGGAAGATATCTTGGTTGCTGAGGGCTCAAGTGATTCTATTAAACCAAAACGCCTCACCATCTTTTACCGTGAAAAGCCAGATGCACCTAGCTGCAGTCGGAAACCAATCACTATCACGGTCCCAGCTCCTTTCGAGTATAAAAGTTCCAAAGCAGTGCCTTGGAAATATGAGTGCAAGGTAACTGTAGGGCAAGATGTATCATCTCCTTCACTCCCAGTTGACAATATCACTGGAGTGGGAGGTTTGACACGAACTGGGAGATGTTATACACCGGATAGCCTGCTAAAGCGCGTGAATGAAACTACTAGTGAAAAGAATAAAGAGAAAGCAAGTGAGAAGAAGAAGGAGAAAGTGGAAGAGGATAAGAAAGGGAAGGCCAAACTCCACGAGGATGTCCATGATGAACTGGTGGAGGCAATTGTTGTAAAGGATGTAAGTTCTTAACAACCCGTGTCCGAGGAAGAGACTCAAGAGTTTCTGAAGCTAGTGAAGCAAAATGAATACAAAGTTATTGAACAATTAGGTCGGACACCCGCAAAGATCTCTATATTATCTTTATTGTTATCCTCTGAAGCGCATCGGAATGCACTGTTAGAGGCCTTGAAACAGGCTTTCGTTTCACAAGACATCACAGTGGATAATTTGAGCAACGTTGTGGGGAATATAATGGCATCTAGCTGCATCACTTTTACAGATGAGGAGATACCACCAGAGGGTACAGGACATACCAAAGCTCTCCACATCTCAGTTAAGTGTAAAAACTTCCTAATAGCAAAAGTCCTTGTGGGCAATGGATCTTCTTTAAACATAATGCCAAGATCCACGCTAGAGAAGTTACCCGTTGATATGTCCCATATGAGACCTAGTACTGTGATAGTAAGAGCTTTCGATGGAGCTCGCAACGCTGTCGTTGGGGATATTGAGATCCCGATCCAGATAGGTCTTTGCACCTTTGACATAACATTTCAGGTTATGGACATCACATCAGCTTATAGTTTCTTGCTGGGGCGACCGTGGATACATTCGGCAGGAGCAGTTCCATCCACTTTACATCAGAAAATTAAGTTTGCGGTTGACCAAAAGTTAGTGATCATATCGGGACAAGAAGACATTCTAGTCTCAAGGCTTGCTTCGATGCCATACGTTGAAGCAGCAGAAGAAGCTTTTGAGTCTTCATTCCAATCATTCGAGATTGCAAATGCTACAACTTTACATGGGAAGTTTGGAAGACCTAAGCCACGACTTTTAGAGGCCGCCTTTAAAGTAAACAACGGGAGTTTAGACAAGCTGCTGAGGATGGCTAAAAACACAAGGAGGTTCGGGCTAGGATATAAGCCAAATAGAGGTGACATTATTAGAGTGCGGAGTATGGAAAAAGCAAAACGCCTCTCAAGATTTGAGAATGGGGAGCGTGATTACTCTAGGAGGACTGTTCCACCTCTCAGCCACTCTTTGAGAAGTGCCGGCACAATCCATCAGGAGTACGATGAGAGCTCTGTAGCGGCAGCAGTGACAGAAGAAAGAGAGCAAGTCGAACCTTTTGTCTACCCGTGCCCAGACGGTTTCAAGCTAAGCAATTGGAGCGTGTTAGAGCTACCGTCTTTTGTAAATAATAAATCAAAGTAATTTTTTTTTCCTTCCCCTCATTTTCTTAATTAATTAAATTAATTTTCTATTTCCTGTACATTCCATCCAGATCTATTATTTGTTTATAATTCTTCCATATCAATAAAGTTTGAGTTCATTCACTTTGTTTCTTTCCTCTACTATTCTCTGGGCCAATTTATTCATTTATTTATGTTTTTTTTCCTTTATTATGTCTTAAACAGTAATACTGAGATTGAATGCGATAATGATTCGAAATACGAGCTCGATACACCTATATACAATATTGAATCTGATGAGGAAATAGATGACGAGCCCTCTGCTGAGTTATTGAGAATGCTAGAAGAAGAAGAAAAAATGTTGGGACCCCATGAAGAATTAACTGAGACACTTAACTTGGGATCACAAGCCGAAGCCAAAGAGATTAAAATAGGCACTCATATGTCTTCAGAGAGTCGCAAAAAGTTGATAGAGTTACTTCATGAGTATGCTGATGTTTTTGCTTGGTCCTATCAGGATATGCCTGGTTTAGATACAGACATCGTAGTGCACAAATTGCCGACCAACCCAAAGTTCAAGCCGGTGAGACAGAAGTTACGGAAAATGAGGCCAGATATGTTGATCAAGATAAAGGATGAAGTAAGGAAGCAAATCGATGCAGGGTTCCTTACGGTATCTAATTACCCTGAGTGGGTGGCAAACATTGTCCCTGTACCAAAGAAAAATGGACAAGTAAGAATGTGTGTTGATTATAGAGACTTGAATCGTGCAAGTCCAAAAGACAACTTCCCGCTTCCTCATATCGATGTGCTGGTTGATAATACTGCTTGGTTCTCAACCTTCTCCTTTATGGATGGGTTCTCAGGCTACAATCAGATCAAGATGGCACTTGAGGATCGTGAAAAAACCACATTCATTACGCTATGGGGAACTTTCTGCTACAAAGTTATGTCATTTGGGCTAAAAAATGCTGGGGCAACCTACCAGCGTGCCATGGTTACTCTCTTTCATGACTTGATGCACAAAGAAATTGAAGTTTACGTGGATGATATGATTGCCAAGTCAAAACAGGGCGAGGAGCACACAACTATTTTAAGGAAGCTGTTTGATCGATTGAGGAAGTTCAAATTGAAACTCAATCCCAACAAATGCATATTTGGGGCAACCACTAGAAAACTCCTTGGTTTTGTAGTAAGCCAAGAAGGCATTAAAGTTGACCCGGATAAAGTCAAAG